CTAATTACTTTCGTGATGCCATGACACATGATCAGCTGATCGTCCGCCGCCCCTCCTGCTCAGCAGTATTGTGTTTGATATTATCCGACTTATTACCCTCCGGTATAGATGTCACCGACAAAAGTGTTAGTAGATGAACAGTGTCACCGAGCTGTCAGACCAACCCGCGCCACCGTCGCGCTGTGCCGCCGTGTGATGGCCGACCGGCAGGCATCGTGACCGCCGTGCCACTGCGGCGCCGCCGCCGCCCCGTCTAGACTCAAAATGAGTAATGAGGCATTGTGCGGGGCGGGGCCGGGAGCAGACGTCCGGCGGTACGCGCGCGCATCTGTAAATTAAATGCATGTCGCTTTAACCCTCGCCGGACCTATTGGTTTTCTACATACGCGCCGGCCGAGGGGGGGGGGGGGGGGGCGGGTACGACCCCCCCCTCGCCGTTTCGCCCCTGGTGGAGCTAGCGCGTCGCGGAAAAAACGAGCGTGTGCGCCGTTACGAGACGCAGAGATTGGTACCCGATTTTAAGGTCCTAGGTCAACCGGTGACCTCTGAGGTCAGGTCAAGTGCCCCAAGGTACGGTTCAGTTTTTGGTGAATAACTTCGCAAAAAACGGCCGCAGAGCGCCGATTTTGGCAGCATCGTGTTCGTCGCGCTCAGGCGCGTCGAATGATATACTTTTTGTCCGGGTCAGGTCAACTTGGGGTGTTGACCTCAGGTCAAGGTCAGGTCAGCACCCCCAGGTCACGAAGCTGGTCAAAAGAGGTCATGTCGCATATCATTCGATTCGGCAGGTCTTCCTGAGTCCATTGGTGGCTTTCCCGACTCGCTAGCTCAATTTGATCAAGAGTTATTGACGAAAAACTAATATGACCTTGATGACGTCATAAATGACGTCACGCAAGGTCAACATTGCAAAAGTGACGCATCTAACCTTGCAAGGAGTGCATAAAATCACGATTCTGTGTGCTTGAGATAGTTGGAGATCGTTCCCGGCGCCAGAATAGCAGTTTGAATTTTTCCCCATTGACTTAAATGGTGAGGTCACGAAAATGACCTGACCTCATATGACCTTTAGGAAAAATCCGAGATATACAAGTTGTGGGACTCATAATGGATACTAGATCCTGCAAGTTTCATTTCCCTGTGACATCTCCTCTGGCAGTGAGGGCGTTGCGAAGTTGCGACATCTGAAGACCGTGCAGAGGTTCACTTATGACGTCATAGGTCAGTGACCTGACCTGACCCAAAAATGCGGTTGGTGTCAAAAGATGCGGCTTGGATCAAAGGTCAGGTATGCCAAGTTTCAGCTCTCTATCGCCAGCGTGTTCGGAGCTATCGCGAAAAAACCCTATGGGGGGGGGGCGGCACCCGCCCCCCCCCCTCGGCCGGCGAGGGTTAAGGCACGTAGGCCGCCAAGCTGGCGCCTTCTGTCCCCTCTCCGCTGCCGTACAAGTTTGCACTTGCTTTGAGCATAGTCCAAAGGTTGTGTAACGTGATGTATAAAAGATGGGTCACGCACGACCCCCGAGGGAGTCTAACACCGACCGTCGTGCTGTGCGCTTCTCAACTCGCCACGCTGTCTACCTCGAATCAATAGAAAAACAAGTGCAATTCGTACCGGGTGCCTTTTCTTCAATCATCGTGGGAGGGCACTGTATGCCCAAACAACACCCAACCACCACACCACCCCTGCAGCCGGCGGTTCAGGGAAGCGCGCTGCCGCGCCGGGCCGCTCACTCGGCCCTCAGGGCACGTGTTTGTTCAGCTGAACCCCGGCGTTGAAGGGGGCCGTTTCCGACCGGCCGGCGGTCGCGCGTTCTCCCGGGCCCATCCGCCTACCGACAGCACCGTTCGGTCGTGCAAAACGCCGTCCGCTTTCAGTCGTGGCCGGCCAATAAACAGGCGATAACGGAGACAGGGCTGAGCTCAGCCGGCGCGGAACGGGTCGTGTCCAGCGCCGCCGCCGGCCGGCCGCTGGGGACGCCCTGATAAGGGCCGGTCCACACCGCCCAAACAGCGTCAGCGCGCTGACCGGTCGGTATCGACGGAATTCGACCCAAACGGCGCCGGTCTCCGCGCTGAGTAAGGCGTCGAGATACTGTCAGACTGCAACCAGTTGCAGCTCTGATTGATGATGTGATCGGCGTATGTGCTGTATTTTTCACGGAGCCATGAAAAACAAGGTCAGATCACGCACGGTGCTGGAATATAGAATGATTAATTTCGGTAACCTCTATTACGAGAAAACTTTGCAGAGCTTATTATGAATTAAACATTGAAGAAAGCCGAAGGGGATGGAAAGAGAAAAATATATCTTACTAGTGCCACACCAATGCTGTCATTTTAATTAGATCAGACTCCCTAACATGCCTATCATATTTATCAACACCATGCCTATCTTGCTGCAGGGAGCGTGGTTTTTCTGTGTTTGTCTCCAACCCTATTTCGGTCCCATGTCTCGTTAGTGGCAGATATTCTGCAGTGCCGCCTCAGGCGTGGGGTGGCGTCTCACTATCAAAACGGGCCATCTCTGATCTCGAGAGCGCCTTGCTTGCAGCTTTCCCATGATGGAGCGGCGAGCAAAAACGTAACGCTTCCCGGAAGCCTGCGTTATTGAATGGCGGCTCGGGGCGGAGATATCTCGCTAACGAGAAGGCAGTGCTGACGCGTATGACTTGTCGGAATTGTGGAATGTTGTTTTCGCCAGCGGTGCGCCAGGTAGTGCCGGCATGCGGCGTGTGATCCCGTTTGGGCAGCGACAGTGACGCGCCCCGATGGGGATCAGACGGAGGGGGCAGCCGGCAGACGGACCCGCCGCGGCAGCATCGAGTGCCACCTGAATTCCGACAAATGATAATGCATGGCAACAAGCACGCAAAGCCTCGGCGTTGAAGCACGTCTTTTTAATAATGCAATATTTAGTTCAATTTAATCTCTTCACAGTGTGGTTTAAACAATTGATTCTACATCATTTTTGTATAGACCACATTGCATGCCTTACTCTGCATCATTTTCGCAAAAGGTTTGAAAATTACAGCATTCAGTCACATAAAGGCATCGGACCGGGTCAGGTCGAGCAACATCATGATTTACAGGTTTCGAAATGGGCCACGGGACCAAAACAATTATCCGGGCATTCAGTAATGGATGAAACTTATAAAATCATAAAAAAATGATTCTTGATCTGCAGTTGCGTGCTGATTCAGCAGTGTCATAAGGCGCATACAATTCAATTATCTCCAAGTTATCCGTTAGATTGACGAGTGCGGTAATTACAATGAGAAATATGCAAGAAAAAAGGAAGACCAGTGCAAACCGTTAGCTTATTTCAACTTTGCTCATTACGAGATAAACTATTGGGTCTGGCCGACGTTCGACCGAGGGTCGGGCTGATTTCACTGGATTTGCAGATATAAATATATACGTCTGAAGTTTGGACAAGATGACCTCAGCACTACCCCGGCCCACCGGTGTGTCGAGCCAGGCAGACGATGCTCGGGTTCCCCAGCACACCCCCACCCTCCCGGATTTGGCCGGAGCATGTTTGCCCGCCGCCGCTGATCGATGATACGGTCGTAGGACGCTTACGTGGACCGTCCTGCAAAACATGCATGACTGCTCCTGCTCTGTGCTCCAGAGCTCATGAGTCATCACAGCGGAAGTCAGTGACGGCCAAACGAAAACGAGGCAGAGAATGAGACAAACTTCCTACCCTTTGCTGAGAACCGGATGTGAGGGGTAGCGGGGGTAAGTTCCAAGCTGCCTCCACCGTAAAAACGCTCTAAAACATCAGTCATTCATACTACAAACGCACACGCTCACGCACACATGTGCTTATGCTTTTATCCTTCCTGTTTTCTAGTAAGATGACACATGCTTAGGGTATGAAAAATGAGCCATAACTGCATCAACGACGCTGGGGCACGTGGGAAATCCGCTTCACCGCAACTCTGCGTAGGCTCCGAACCCTCTTTCAGACGTAAGCAGTTATTTCTGCTGTATCCTGTTGCCCTGAGACGACGGAAAGGGCGGCAGTCGTCGCACCCAGTTTGAGCTGAGTGATTGACGTCGGCGGACCCTAGTCGCGGGATGTTTACACATTAGTCAGAGCCATCGCACGGTCTGTCCGCATGTCGCGTGCCATTACCACGTGCCTTCCGAAGGGGCATTCCGCCGAATACGCCGATTCTACGGGAAGGACTCAGGATTAGAAAGAGCAGACGGATATCAGGCCTTAGTCCACCAGCACCTGATAGCGCTACAACGGAAGGGTCTGAAACCTGGGTCCCTGTTGTAGTGTTGTAATAGCAATTCGATAGCTAAAACTGCAATAAGAAACCATCTCACTCATCTCGCCGATATGAGACATCCCGGCACTGTCCGGAATTCGGATTCCTGCGCTACTCTGCGTGTTGTTTACACGCAGCAGCACGCCGCGCTGGCTCGGATCGGGGCGGATCCAGCCACCATCGCTCATCCCAAAGAGCTCCGCGCACGACTCTCGGGTTTCGCGGTGGACTGGGGCCGTCACCTGGCTCTACCGCTGACATTCCGCGGCCCCATCAAAGTGACGCTGGCGCGCGTGACACCGGATGGGGCGGACATCCGACCCCCGCGGCCCCGTGTACCGCGCCGGCGACACCGGCAGCCGCCGCACGGTGATATGGGAGCCGCGAATATAACTTCACTAATATACCTCAAACGGGTGGGACGTTCTGAGTGATGCATAGAAATAGCTGAAACTGACGGTGGCATTTCTTAGTTATCTTTTGGCGAGTTAGGTTGTCACATTGCGAAAATAGTTTCAACGTCCGTACCTACTTCAGACTTTCGTCGTAGACGCATTACACAAAAATAAAAAAGATAATTATTCTGAATTTTTAGTACGTTTCATGGTCAGTGAGGCATGCACGACCTGCTAGTCCCATAAAATATAAATACGACCCATGACGTTCTCGATGGATGGTCGATCCACCCACTAACTCCTATCTTCTCTGTTGCAGGCTCTACACCGCCAGCAGCCGGAGCCTGAGTCTCGGGGTGCACTGCCTCCTGGGCCGCCGGCACCACACCCGCTGCTTCTGTACCCGCTGCTCAGTCGCTCGTTCGCCGGCCTGGTACCGCCGGCAGCCGGTCCCCCGCCCGATCTGGTACCGGCTGGACCTGCCGCCGGACCTGCGGGAGCCGCTCGACCGGTGAGTCGTTGGGAATTGTGAGACGTGGAGGCGTGGCTTTGGATGGGTCGAGTCCTGACTATTTACCCTAATAAAGCTAGGTTGATTGGCTTTATTTTGGATTGTGTTTAAAGACGAACAACAAAAACTATGCGAAATTTTTGTGGAATGCTCTATAAATGGGATGTGAAACGTGCGAGACGACGTGTCGGTTTGCTTTGTAATACGAAGTGCCATTATAAGCAGAAAATTACCACAGTGATGACCGTCATGCACTGACTGTTCCCAGGTGCCCTCCTGGCCGACGTCTCCACCGGCCGCGCCTCCCACGACCTCCTCTGATGACGCGCCGCTGAACCTCTCCAAGCCCAGGTCGTCATCGTCGCCGCCATCGCCGCCATCCGCCGCGCGCCGTCCGTCCGTGGGTGACGGGTTCCCGCAGGGTCTGTCTCGACCCTCCCCCGTCGAAGGGTTCCCTCCGGCGGCAGTGGGTCGGCCGCTGCTGACGCCGCCCTTCCTGCCGTACGGCCTGACGCCGCTGCCGACATCGCATGGAGAATGTGAGTGGACAGACGTCAGTCAGATTGCGAGTATGGTCTCATTTATTTATATTTCGATAAATTGTTTTACTTATATTTGTTATGATACATAGTGAGATAATTGTGTAAGTACACATATATGTAGGTTTATGTTTGTGGAGTTTTTTAAATAATTGATACGTTAGATGCAGTGGATGAAGCATAAGCATTAGATACTGGTAGCTCGAATTGAAACGTTTTCTTCTTTCGGCAGACGGTCTGAGCCCGGCGGCAGCGGCGGCCGCCTCGGATGCCGCTCTCCTGGGATACCCCTGCAGGGACGGGGTCCCGCTGCACCTTCTCTATCCGCCAGTCAGCTTCGCTGGCGGCCTGGCTGGCCTGGCGCTGACCTCACACGGAGTGACGTCACCTGTGATGACGTCACCGGTCAGCCGGGGCGCTGACAATAACCTGGAGACAACCTGCACCTGTGAGTATCAAAGAAAGACAGACTGCAGTCACACTCACAGACACTCCACACAATCTGGATTAGTGGGTCTGCATGCATCTTATTTCAGCGGAATGTTTTGTTAAATTTACGCTTTTTACATAAAATGTAACATAAAATGTAACATTTTACGTCATTAAGATTTAAACCATCTTTCTCTCGATGGTTGTGAAAAATGGAAAAAGATTATAAAAATTCCGCTGAATCGATCCTTTTGTGTTTGCTTCTTGCACGTCTGTAACATCTGTCTCCCTCCCCTCTTCAGCGAAATTGTTCGGTGCGAAGATAATTCGCCAGCAGCGGCGGGACAATGGAGGCAAGCCTCATGTGAAGAGACCCATGAACGCCTTCATGGTCTGGGCCAAGGACGAGAGGCGGAAGATCCTCAAAACCTGCCCTGATATGCACAACTCAAACATCAGCAAAATCTTAGGTACGGTGCTGGCATTTTGTAAATGCCCATGACTTTCTACCTGCATTGCTTGCAATCTTATGCTGCATAATAAAGATTTCATTTTTCTAGTATTTATGATTCATCAATTTTTCATGTCGCTTCGCTTCCATTTTTTTTTTTGCGTAAACCATTCGTTGAGTGACCACGCTTTAGTCTTCTTGCATCTAACCAGACGTACTGCTCGGTGATCTGCAAATACTCATCCACTGACCTCCGTCCTTTCCCACAGGAGCTCGGTGGAAGGAGATGACCAACGAACAGAAGCAGCCCTACTACGAGGAGCAGTCCCGTCTGAGCAAACAGCACATGGAGGAGCACCCCGAGTACCGGTACCGGCCGCGGCCCAAACGCACCTGCATCGTCGACGGCAAGAAGTTACGGATCTCCGAGTACAAGGCCCTGATGCGGCGGCGACGACAGGAGATGAGCGGTCTCTGGTGTCGGGATGGCTCAGTTCCTGAGGTCCCAGGCCTACTCAGTCCCGGAGAGGTGGCCAGCGCGGCTCACGGGCGCTCGCCGCTGCCCAGTCCTGCGACCTCGAGGGACTCGGTATCACCCTACTCGCCTGGAGCGGCAGCGGAGACGGCCGAGGCGCCCCCACCGCGACCACAGCCGCAGACCGCGGTATAGTGAAGGAAAGACGGATCCTAGGCTGGGAGAACCATGGTGTGCGGCCTGCTTGGGGAAGGGCCGGCACAGGTGGGGAGAAAACCGTCATCGAGTGGCGGAGGCAGCAGCTCCATCAGCTCGGCCAGAGTTTGTTCCATGTTTTCTATACGTAGGGCCGATGTGAACTGTTGCTAATTTGTACGGTGCGTGACCGATGATGCTTTACTCAACTTTGGGTCCCTGTGTACATTTGAACCCGATGAATATTGCTTAGAGGTCAGGGAGTGCACGTGACTGATTGCACGTGACCAGGGCAAATGGAGACGTATGTTCGACGTTTTCACCTAGGAATGTCCAGCACGTTACCGACAAATAACGCGATATTTTTCAGCTGCGGGGACGATGTGTTTTTTTTTTCTTAGGGACAAACGAAATGAACTGCATCTGTACCACACTTATCAATTGCAGTAGCTATTCAATCTTTTGAATATTAATTCTCGAAGTACTTTCATAACTGATTAAAACCATGATGCCTGGTGGGACCAATGAGCTAGCAAGAAACCAGTAAACCAATCTTAATCGGCAAGATAAAATTAATGTACCGAAAACTAGCGGTATAATTCACCTTCAATTTACACCGTTTTGCTATTGATATTAATCTATGAAATATGGTTCCCGACAAGCTGCTCAGTCTCGCGTAGTTTGATAAGGCAACGTTTCCGGTGTGTGATTCCATTGTTTTGCCACCCTTTATCATCAGCTAATGCTTGTTGACGCTATAATGTACATGGTTGTTTGCTGTTGTATTATATGTAGACACAAACAAAGCTTGTGTATTCGGCATGTCAGGGAGACGAACATAGTCTTCACAAATGCCCCTTTCTTTGGTGGTTTTGTGTGTTGTTCAGAATGATGTTTTCTCGTCACAGAGCGTGCTTTGCTATATGTACGAGATGCCCCTGATGCTCGTATCAAAATACAGAAGTATGGACGCATGGCATCAACCGCTATCACTCTTTTTTCGCAAAGAAGACTTCAGTCCGGCTGTCGCTATTCCTCGGAAATCCTGCACTTTTTCCGCATAGTCATTTTTTGACGGCTCTATCGGTGTTGCGATGTACCGTTTCCTGCTGAGAATGTGCCAATTTACCTGCGACTGAAAGGCACGCACTGCGACTGCTGTATTTTTACTGCAAACGCTGAACGATCGTCCCACCGCCGCCGCTGCTGCCGATCCGTTATTTGTTGTCCCGGTGGGGGCCGGTCTGCAGGGCGCGATATTAGCTCGGGTGGTGAGATGTTGCACCACGCCGGCCAGGTGTTGGCTATCAGTGACCGCGCGGCTCGGCCGGCCGCAGTATCGCCTGAGGCGCTGACGGCAGCGCCGGCCCTACACCGATTTGTCAGATCGGGCGGCGGCGGCCGGCCGGCCGGCGCGCGCGCGCGTTGATTCATTGCGTTCCAGGCTTTCTGTTTGGGTTGGCTCCGATTCTGTTCCGGTGAGGTCTGCACGCTCACAGCTGTCGATCGGGAGGATGTTCGCCCGCGCGCTGTTGCTTGTAAACCTAGGTTCTTTTGTTCCCGTGTGCAGTCGTAAACCTGTGCGCATTGACGCAATGCTACCGGGGCTGTTTCCGCAGTTATACAATCTTCCGCCTCTTGCAGGGGTCTGTCCTGCTACTGTTTCGGAGCTTGTTTGTGAGTTCTGTTGTACATATTTCACATATGTTTGGTGCGTTTGCTTTCATAGATGATATTGATTTGTTCAATGTCTGACAAGCATATCGACTCGTTTGGCGCTCGCGACACTATACGTGTTGGATGTCTCGTTGCGTTTCCACTGCCTGATCACTCCCCTGTACTGCGTAAAATGTTGATGTAGATGGATGTGGAAAATAATATATGCGAAAAAAAATAGCTTTTGTCATAGACTCATATTTTATGAATCACCGTTGAGGAATGATTGTGTTATGTGTGACCGGTGGCAAAAATTACACGTTTTACGAGAAACTGTCCACAAATTGCAATGTGACGTCCAATGGCCAACTCCAAACATGAAGGTAATTGCTTGTTACAATCTTAGACTAAAAGGATTTCTCACTTTATCCCACGATAGGGATTTATCAATTTAGTTTATCCCGTCATAGAACTTATCCCATTTGTGAATGAAACACCTACCTCCACACTCCACAATTGTTTATCGGCGTTTCGGCACTTTTAACCCTCCCCGGCCGAGAGGGCGACGGTATAGGTGCCAGCCCTGGCAGTTTTTTCGCGTTGGTTTGAAACGGGATAGAGATGGAGCGTTAAACTTGGCATTCTTACCAGTGGCGGCGGAACACCTTAAATTAAAGGGGGAGGGGGATCGCCGACTTTTGGTCCCATTCTTTCCATGCAACGCCCATAGGGCTAATATTAAAATGCTAAAATCAAAGGGGACACGGTGCCCCGGTGCCACCCCCGTTCCGCCGCCTATGCTTCCTACTCCACTTTTTATTCAAGCTGGATATTTTGGCATCAATTGTATCTTCACATAGACCCGGGAACAGGGGGGGCAGCGGGGGCGCTTGCCCCCCCCCCCCCAACTTGGGAGCCGAGGGGGCGGCGCCCCCTCAACATTGAGGCAGCGAGAAAAGATCTTTCCTCCCTTTTCCGGACTTCTTTCCTTCTTGTTTCTTTTATGCATCTAAACATCAACACACGGCATTTTCCTTGCCATCTGAATGGTTTCTGCTGATACAATGTCGATTTGACAACATCTGCTATTGTCATCCCGCTTTGATTTGGGCCTGACCTTGGCCATAAGTTTGGCAGGCCAGATTTTATACTGTACCAGCTTGAGTCAGCTTTGAGAAATACATAACGTACAACGGTGGTAAAATCGTTGCTATAGGTATAACACAGTTTACCCGCTCCGGGTGACATGGAAGGGTGTGGGGCAATGAGTGCACTGACGTGGCGACCTCGGAGGGCCGGTATGGGATTAAAGCTCACCGACACTAAGGGCTTATGTGGTGCCTTCAGTTATCGGTAGCACCCTCAGAATCACCGGCGTAAGGGCCCTCAGAGCCGCCGGTAAGGGGCCTTTAGAGGCACTGATCATGGTGTGGGGCCGCCATGCACTATGCAGGTGCCGGTGTGGGCGCTGAGGTGCTAGTGTGATTCTCTCAGAGGCGTCGGTGAGGGTCCTTACAGGCGTTGCTGTGGGCCCTCATAGACGCTGGTGTGGAACCGTTACAGACGGGTGTGGGGTCTTTTGAGCTGCTGACGCGAACCCTCTACAAGGCGGCAGGGGGTTCTCAGTGATCGGCAAGGGGCCCTTAGGCCGGCAGAAGAAGTCCTGTGGGGTCCTTGGAGACCGGCATGGTACTGTCAGACGCCGGTGGGGCCCTCAGGGCTCAGAGTCACCGGTGTGGGGCCCTCAAGTCACCAGTGGGTGGCCTTTAGATGCGCAGGTGTTGGTTGGGTCCTCAGAGCCGCCGATATAGGGCTATAATAGGCACTGGTGTAGGCACTCGGAGTTGGGGGTGTGAAACGCTCAGAGGCACCGGTGTGGGCCCTCATAGGCGCCGATGAGGGCCCCCACAGTTGCCGTTATGGGGCCCGCAGAAAAATAAGTGTGTGACCATCACAGGCGGGAAATGCCCCTAGAACTGGCCCCTCATAGGCCGGTAAGAACTCTCAGAGGCCAGTAACGGGCCTTTGGAGACCACCGAGGGGCCCTTTATGTCTGCAAAAGGCCCTCAGAAGCCGGCGTGGGGCCCTTATGGAGATCTTAGTGTGGCTATTTAGGGTCCATGAGGTGTTATAACGAGCCCTATGGGGCCCTTCTGAGTAGAAATATGGCCATCGTTAACTCTCAGCGGTCAAATGGCGCCGCAGGGCCCCTCGGACCCGAGGGTCCCTTTGAACCCGATGGGGGGGGGGGGTACGTGTCCCCTTAGACTCCTAGCTAGGCCACTGTTTCATATGCATCATGTCAGGCATTTTAGGCTCGCCCCCCCAACTTGAAAATCGTTCCCGGGCCCCTGTATCTTCATGCCAGGTCAGCTCACTGATCTAAGACGCTATAGGTATAGGCCTACGTGGACACCTTCACGGTTCATATGTTGCAGTTTACAACGCTCCCAGTGCTAGTTTCTTGCAGGAAAATGCATTTTGCACGATTTGGAAAATAATACCTAAGTTTCTTGATCCTTACAACTTCAATACCTACAAATCTTGGATTTTTCACAACATGCAGCGAAGCTCAGATTGGTCACGTAACCAAACTATTACCTACCTACAAGACAATGTGTGTGTGTGTGTGTGTGTGTGTGTGTGTGTGCGTGTGTGTGTGTGTGTTTGGGGGGGGGGGGAGAACTAAAACTGCTAGGTACTTTAGCACCGGAAATGCTTATTTTTCCATTTTTCATCTCTTATGACGTCATACACCTATAACGTCACCAAGACTATTTGATGTCATTGAAAAGTGACGTCATTAACCCCTTATATCAAATTAACCTAATGGGCCAGTAGGTAGTAGGTATAAACTAATGAACTCCAAATGAGCTGGAGAATCAAATGTTTTGGACCAAATCCCAATTCCCTGCCCTAAGTGGCTTAAGTCCTCACCGAAAAAATCATTTTTCTTTTTACCGATAGCTTATTGTTTGATGGGGCCGGGGGAGGGCAAGGGTTGATATGCACCCCTTGCCGTTTCGAATCTAATTGAGCTTTATCGATACAGAAAACGAGCGTGAGTCGCAAAAGTACGAGGCGTAGCTACTGGCACTTAATTTTAAGGTCAGGTCAATCGGTGCTCTCTGAGATCAGGTAAAAACCCTCAAGGAATGGGTCTGATTTTTCTTTTTTTTGTGAAGTAGGTACCTTGCCAAAAATGGCTGCAGAGTGCAGAGTCGCTATTTCGGCTCCACTGTGTTCGTCGTGCTCAGCGAGTCGAATGTTTGGAAAACTTTTTTGTCAACTTAATATGTTGACCTCAGGTCAGGTCGGGGCCATGCACAGGCTGAGACTGACGTGTTCCATTATTTGTAGTGCATACCTAATAGAAGCTTGCATAAACTCGGTGCAAAATTATGGGCTGGACGGCTGTATCAACAATACTCCAATATTATCTGGGCTAACTACGTGCCGTTTCCTTTTATGTGACCTAGAAACATTAGCGTCGCCACGGGGGGGCAAGCGGGGCAGCTTGCCCCCCCAACCTCGGACCGGGCACCCCCTGAGATCGATACAGATCCGATGAGATTTTGGAGTCGGGAAAAAATGGGGGTACCTTTCTGAGAATGCCTGTGAGGTCAGACTCGGTTGGAGCGTGCAGTTCAAACCAGAGTCTGACTCGCAGTCGCCAAAATCTTCAAGACTCCGAGTCCAGACTCGGAAATGTCAATGCTGCGATCCATTCCATGTTCCTAGTTCGTTCTTTATTACATTTTACAGCTGATTTTCATAAGTTTTGGAGTGCTGACACAATTTTCGTTCAAAGCGTGAAACGAAATCTTAGGGGCATTTCTCAACTCTCGTCAAATGTCTGCGACAGGCTCAAGTACCGTACAAGTGTCGCAGGGCTCATGAGCTTGCTTTAAACAAAGGCTCCTAAGGAGCTCCACTGAGCCCTAAAGAAGCTTTCAGAGGGCCCAAACCGGCCTCTGCAAGTTCCACTGGTGTCCATGTTCTCTGAGGGCCCATACAGGGATCTTCGAGCCTTCGAAGTTCGAACATTTCTGAGAACCTTAACTGGTCTCTGATAGTTCAGTCAAACTTTGGAGGCGACAGACCTTGCTAACCCCAAGCCGGCATCTGAGGGGTCACAGCTCACGTGTCCCTCTGAGGTCCGCAACACCATGTTTATTATGTCCCTACGTAGGGTCCTAAGGGATTCGACACAGACCCCGAGGGTTCACACTGTTATCCGAGGGCTCCAGGCTCACCCTGGGCCTAGTCTCTTAGCGCCCGCCGCCCACACTGGCTTCTGAGGGCCCCACCTTGGGCTCGGAAAGCCCTAAAGCACCACGTACACGTAAATATTTGAGGTGACCCACGCCGATCTCCGGGACCCTAAGCATGCTTCTGAGAGTCAGCACTGACCCTTAGTGGCCTGAAATGGCCTGGAAGTCCCAAACCTATCTCTGATGGATCCCTTGCCGCTATGCCATGCGTAACTTTTGGTTCCGTTTAACAGTTTTTGTCATAGGCGTAGGAACAGGGGGGGCCAGGTGGGCAAGTGCCCACCCACTTTTCGAGGTGGGGGGGCCAACCATGTGTTTTGGCCCACCCACTTTTTACTCGAGGCCCCTCGTCTCGATTTGAGAGGACGTCGTCACCTTCCCGAATAAACAAACTTGGTAAAAATAAGTTCCACGAATCCCCACGCACGGACTCCAAGGGGGCCGTGTTGGATCCAAGGAGGCCCTCTGTTCATATTTGTCAGTCGAAGCCCCTGAGACTGATGGCCTGAGAGGCCCTAGTGGATCTGAGGAGGCCCCAATATCCACACTGGTCTGGGGAGGCCCCTGACACTGGCGGTCTGGGAGGCCCCTCTATCCACACTAGTCAGAGGTCTGAGACTGGTGGTCTGGGAGGCCCCTCCATCCACACTAGTCAGAATAGGCCCCTGACACTGGTGGTCTAGCCGAGGCCCCCTACCCTCACTAGTCAGAGGAGGCCCCTCTATCCTCAATAGTCAGAAGAGGCCCCTGAGACTGATGGTCTGGGAGGCCTATCCATCTACACTGTAGTCAGAGGAGGCCCCTGAGACTGATGACCTGAGAGGCCCTTATAATCACACCAGGTAGAAGAGGCCCATGAGACTGATGGACTGAGAGGCCCCTCTATTCATACTGACCACAGGAGACCCCCAAAACTTTCGGTCTGGGAGGTCCCTCAATCCGGCACCAGTCAGAAGAGTCCCCTGA